CCATCAATGGACTTAAGCGTGGCAACAGTAGTGAGGTTGGCCCAGGACCGGGCACTGTTTTGTTCTGTTCTGTTGTGCATAGGGGGGTCGCTATGAGTCAGTACCAACTCGATGGTACCTAACAACAACAACAACATGTATGTATACACATGTGGTGGTGTTAGCTGCCACTGAATTGGCTTTGACTCATAGAACAAAATGTTGCCTGGTCCTTGTGTATGTTTGGACACTTAAGCAGTTTGTATATTTTGCAATTATGAAAAATAATGCAATGAGAAACAGCATGAATTCCTGAAAGTAGTATTACTCAAAAGGGGAACTGCATATATAGCCATATTGTTGTTTTTGTTGTTGTTAAGTGTCATCAAATCGATTCCAACCCATAGCGACCCTGTAATAGGGCTTCCAAGTAGCAACCAATGTGTTTGAACCTCTGGCCTTGCAATTCAAGGTGATCTTGTAGTCGAGTGCTTATCCTACAGGGCCACACCAGGACTCTGTAGCTATATTGTTATTGTTGTTAAATTCTGTCAAGTCAGTTACAACTCATTGCAACCCTGTATAAGGTTTCCAGGGAGCGGGTGGTGAGTTTGAACTGCCAATTTTGTGGTTCAAACCCACCTTGCGGTCCAGTGCTTTATCCCACATCACTACACCAGGACTCTATATCTATATTGTTGTTGTTGTTAAATGTCATTGAGCCAGTTCTAACTCACAGCAACCCTGTATAGGGTTTTCACAGAACAGTTGTTGGGTTTGAACCACCAACCTTGTGCTTTATCCCACACCAGGATTCCATAGCTATTTTTGATATTGCCAAATTTCCCAGTACGGGGTTGAATTTTTCTGTATTCCTACCAGCAATGCATGAGGGTTTTTGTTTTCCTAAAACCTTGCCTACAGAGGTTTAGTCATGATTTTGACTTTACCAAACTGATTTGTGACAAATAGAATCTCACACTATATTATTTACAGCTATCATATTATGAAGGATGTTTCTTATGTTTATGGGTCATTATTTAAAGCTTTTTACTGTGAATTGGGTGAAGATTTACAGAGCAAATCCGTTTTCCATTAAACAATTCAGACACACTTTTTTTCATGTCATAGACTGTACAATGTAATATCACTTGTCCCACCTCCTCCCTGTGTTTCTTATTTAAATTAGCTAAGCTTCCACTTGTTAATTACTGTTATTGCAGGGTAAAACTTATACTGATACTTCATTTTTCATATCATATTTTATCAATGTAATCCATGTATTTGGTCCATTTTTTTAAATTGTTTGTATGACAGGGATATATCTTTATCTGTGATATATTTTACCAGTATCTTCTCCTATTTTGTTGTTAATCCTTTTGCTTTGCTTATGGGATTTGAGGATGGCATAGGGCTGGGCAGTGTCTCTCTCTGTTCTGCATTGTTGTTGTATAGGGGGCTATAATTCAAAGCTGACTCCCTGGCACCTAACAACAATGGTATTTTATGCTGGGCAAAAGTTGGAGTGACTTTTTTGTTGTTGTTTTGTTTTGTTTCAGTAATTAAATTTATCAATATTTTGTTTTATTGTCCAAGTCTACATGTTGGATCACAACTAAAAAACCTTTCCCCGCAGCCAGGTGACAGAAGAATTCACCCATGTTTTCTTTGATATTTTTCAAACGATTACCCGGTTGTCCCTGCACTATTTCCAGTGCTTGAAGATATCATGTTTATTAAATTATAATCTGTATGTAGTTGAGTCTGTGTCTGAACTTTCTGTTCTATCCCACTGGTCCATTTGTGCGGCAGTAGCACATTGCTGTAATAAGAGAGGGTCTGTTTGTTGTTAAATGCTGTGAAGTTGGTTCCAACTCATAACAATCCTGTATAGGGTTTCTGAGGCTGTGAATCTTTGCAGGAGCAGAATACATCATCTTTCTCCAATAGAGTGACTGGTGGGCTAGAACCACTCACCTTGTGATTAACAGTCCAGTGCTTATCCTTCAGAGCCACCATGCTCCCCTCTTAATGCAATGAATTATATTAATAGATTTCCTAGCATTGAACTAACATTGCTTTCTAGGTATAAACCCCATTTGGTTGTGGAGTATTATATTCTTAATGTAGACTCGAAGTCAGTTTACTAATACTGTTCTGGATTTTTACACTACTTACAAGTGTTATTGATTTGTAATTTTTCAGTGTGTTCTCTTGCTCATGTTTAGGTATAACTGTTATTCTTTTATAAAAGAAACTTGGAAGTTCTTTGATTTCTATGCTATGAAGTGATTATATAGCACTGAGACTCTGAACTCTAAAGATTCGATAGAATTCCCCTGACCCTGGTTGGTTGGGTTTTTTTGTTATTGTTTTTTTGTTTGTTTGTTTGTTTTTTAAGAACGGTATTTCATTATTCCTCTATCCCTACTGGGCCTAGAAATTTTAAAAACTGTTATTTCCTTACTAAATTGTTTATTTCATCTAAGTTTTCATATTTACTCATGTTGTTGTTGTTGTGTGCCATTGA